TTACTGATTAAGGGAGTTGAGGCTAGAAAGATGTGCATGAGCAGTTTCTTTTTGCTCAAAGTCTTCTTTGGTGCCAACGATGTTGTGGCTCAGTAGCTCTAGTTTGTGGTCAACGAAGTGATACGGTGGCACCTTCAAGTCTTTCTTCTTTGATCTGCAAAAAACAAACAAACAATTAATGTTAGGTTGAAAATAGACGCTGACTAACAATCGATCAAAATGCCATGCAAATAAATCAAGCCACAAAATTTGTCTCGTTGATAAACGTCTACCTTAATACTCTTCCACGTTCATTTTCGGTTATTGCCCTTTGTCTTGTCTCGGGAATGATCATTATAAACACTGAGACAACAATTATTTTTTCTTTTACCAGGGGCACCCAACGAGAATATAGTTCAAAACCACTTAAACATAGCATTGTTGACCGTATTTTAGTATTTAAACGGAAGATATAGACATATTTTTATCCCCCCAAAATTTTTCATCTGTTCGGATTTCGTAGCTGAAAGTCTACCTTTTCGAAAATTTCAGCCAGAAAAAAGGCTCCCGAAAATTCTACGTGACTTTTCCAAGGAAAAAAGTCGTTAAAAATGGGCAATTATACCATTTTTAGATGTTCTCAAATCCTAGGAGAAGCAGGCAGGCAAGAATTTTTACAACTAATGTTCCGAAAATTCTAGATCTCAAATCGTCTTCCGAACAGATATTTTCCAAAAATTGTCGTTGGGTGCCCATGTTTTACCGGCTTCTTCTTCCATCAGTTTTCTCTTTTTCTCTTCATGTTTGTTCGCTTGTTTTAATTGTAGTTTGGTGTTGATTATCAGGAAATCGGATATTTAAGCCTTGTTTTGGCCAAACTGTTCAATTTTTACAGAACGGTTCATTGTCGTTTTAATCTCGTACAGTTATATTAAACGGCCTTTATGAGAATTTTAGCCTGTTCCATGCTCTCAAATACTGGTTAGGACGAGCAATATGAAAAGCTATCGCGATAATAAATTGGCAAACTCTCAACTAGCTTGGCTCAGGAGTAGCCTACTTGTATGGAGTTACTTCTACTATTTCTTATTCTTGTTTTAAATCTTAGTTATAAACTTGCTCCGTAAATCCCCTTCTCAGTATTAGAACGGCGTTATCGGGCGGGTGCATTATGCACAGCCCTGAGGAACGGCGTTGCGACATGGCTACGTGCGTCTAAGTTCTTGGACGAAATCCTAAAAAGTGCATGTCTTCATTCAATTGGATCCTCTTGGCCGGTATATACGTACTTTCCTGTGGTACTATTTATTATGTTGTACCACAGTTGGTTCGTTCTGACTGAACGTGCTTTCGAGTCTGTGGATAAAATCGTATGGTAAGACCTGAAAGCTACTAAGCAGTACTTTCTTGTGGTACTGTTTATAAAATGCTTTTCAACGAGGTTCTAACGTTTGGCTCTGTGGAAGAAATGCTGTGTAGTGACCACTTAAAACAACCATTTGTACATTTATTTTTCCCTTGTGGTCTTATTGTTTATTATGCTGTACGAGCTGATTCTGAGTTTTTTACGTGTTTGAGTCGGAAAAAACCACGTGAATATGAGAAGCACGATTGTGCAAAATCACAAGCTATCATGAAAGGCGAAAAGCACTATTGCGTAGTAGTGGCTATTTGTTTTACAGTTTAACCCTTGAAGTCCCAATATCCACATACAAATTCTCCAAACTAATCTCTATACATTTCCATAAAGAATGTGTTGAGAGAATCTTGTAAAAGATCAAGGCATTTTCCCATTGTTGATCATTTTATTAATTCTCATAACCTAGTCTCTTGACAAATTATGGATATCATTCTTGAAGGGTTAAGACAAAAGTAAATTTTAAAAATGTCTCGCTTTGCTTATATTGCAATTGTGAAGGCGCAGGGGTAAATAACTTACTTGTAAGTAGTTTTGAAGTTGACCGTATAATGGCCACCGTCCTCCAACTTCAAGGCCATGTCGACATCTCCTCTCTGACACCCATCCCACTCATACAGTCTCTCAGTAGACGGTTCCCAGCCTTTTGTCTTCTTCTGCATAACAGGTCCATCTCGGGGAAAGTTAACACCTTGAAACTTGACATCGTAGATGAAACAGTTGCCAACGAGTCTTTTTTTCATAAAAAAGACATTTTATTCAAAGTTATTTCGCAAGTCTCGAGAGGTGAAAAGTACTGGACGATTTCCAGACCACATGTATTGCATATATCTGCACCACTATGTACTGACAGAAGACCTAGTGTTTTCGTCAACATAATTGGTTCATTCACAGTGGTTGAAATATTGGACATCTACATCTGTTGTCTGACAGGGCTAGAAAATTTTTTTTTGCAGTTATAATGAACAAGGGTTGATAACCAACCCTAGTTAGCTACTCCTTAGCAACGTGGATCAGGTAATAGGTAATATCTACTGTTGTGTTCCAATAATTTTTGTTATTATTCATTCTCAAACTCATTAATAATTCATTAAGAAAATACAAAGGAAATTAATGTTTAATGAGTGTTTGGAAATCGGATGAAACACTGCTTAGTATTTGCATCCTTAATTTCTCCTTCAAAAATGATTTTGTTTGAGAAGAAATATCAAACATTCGATACAGTGTTTCATCACCAGATGAAACACCTCGAAGTTCGTCAAAAATACTCCGCTGCGCGTCGTATTTTCAACTCTCTTCTCGGTTTTTCATCTGGTGATGAAACACTGCATCTCATATTTGATATATTACTTCAAAACATTTCTTCGTTTCTGATTGGCTAAAATCCCAGGCATAATTCATCATAACCAGCTACTGTGCACCAAATTTGGAAGAATTTTGCGATATGTGAAAAATGACGTAAACTGTGCAGCATACTTGCCAGAAAACTGAACATTTAACCGAGTTGTTTTGGTAACCAAAACGGTAAACGGTAGTTTGCATATCTCAAACCGCCCTTGGATACCTTGTGATGCCTACACAAAGTAATTGCATATATGTATACATATATGAGTGAGCCCTGACTATAGTGATTAGGGTTAAGCACTAATAATACTGATTTAGGTTAAGCACTGACCATACTGAATAGGGTTAAACACTTAGAATAGTGATTAGGGTTAACGGTTAGCTTTTATTTAGGGTTAGGGTTTTCGCTACAGTATAGTTAAATTACTCCAAGTTCCTGCAACGACTTCTCGGTGGTCTGGTGGTTAGGGCATGAGACTACAGATTTAGCACTCAGGGATCGATTCCTGCTCGTGATTCGCAATTTTTTTTTTCTTTTAAATTTGAAGAGACTTGCACTTTGACGACATTTGTTGAGTAGAAATTAAGTCTCTGAGTCAAAAAACTTAGACATTTCATGTAAGTGTAAGTGAAAAGGGAGAGGGAGGTTTGAGATATGGAAACAAGTGCTTACCGAGTACAAAATGGCAGAACATTTCACTGACTCGTTTAACGGGGAAGAAATAGGCGAACTACTGGCTAAAAACATAGCAAGAACAGCAAGAAGACAACTCGACAGACGACATGTGCTATTTGGAGAATATTTGCAGTACTGAATAACCCTTAATCTCCTAAACTTGCCGATGAACAGGCAATTAAAGATGAACTTAGCATTGATGAAGGTAAGCATGTTTTAGCTTGTGTTTAAACTGGGAATTATTTTGAATGAATAATAAAATAATCATTGAATTCGGCTTTCGAATCACCTAAAGAACTTTTCGCCTCGGCTGATGGATAACACCGCCCTCGATCTTCATAATTCTTCAGATGATACTCATCCAATAATTGTTTTAACAATTATTTGAATAATTCAAATTATTCAAATTTAGTTTCGATTACCTGGAGTCGTTTGAGGCAGTGCACACTGCACCATCTTCGAAGGTCATGGTTCTTTCCCATGTGATTCCTTCAGGAAATGACAACTTGATGTAGTCTGGGATATTGTCAGGATACTTGATAAATGGCTTGCTTCCATACATGTATTGAGGCAGCAAAATCTCAATAGAAAATGGCAAAGGCGCACCCTTAGTGACTGTAAGCTTCATTTTCTGCACACCCCTTTTTAAAGAAAGAGTTTATACGCATTAGAAATTAGCATATTTTATATTTAGTTTGCTAACGCCCCCCCCCCCCTTGTATACTTGTTTATAACCAGTAGAAGTCAGAATTTGCTACTCGTAATAAACCATGCTATCATGGTAATTAGGTTCTGTTCCTGCACCAGAAGACTAGGTCTGCCAGGAGCCCTGATGCCTATTTAAAATAAGTATACTTTGAGCGTTTTTTTAGGCGTGCACGATTAAGGCTGAAATGATTCGGTGTTAGGGAAAAAGTCCCTTTAAAAAAAGCGTGGGAGGTTTGGGGTTTATTGTTTGAGATCTGTTTTAAACAAGAGGCTACTGCATTTAACTAGCTGGAACTTACTCGTAAGGCTGACCACTTCCATTTCCTTGTACCTCAAAGGAGTGTCCGTTGACGACCCCCTCCATGTGAAGCTTGGTAATCATTTCAGGTAGGATCCCAGTCTTGCAAGAAAATGATGATAAAAACCATTATTTTTTCATTTATTCATTTATTAATTTGCTTGTTTGATTATCTATACGTCGCGCAAATATCAATCCACGCACCCGGTTTTATTAACTGCTGCATAATTAGTGCGCATGAATTAACTGCAAAAGCAGTGAATGAAACGATCTTTTACCTTTTTACCTTTTTGGTGTTTAATTAAATAAATACTAAAAAAAAAAATGCGTTCCCATATTTCCGGTTAAACATTGATAGAATAGGCTCTGCAGGGGCGGATCCAGGATTTTTATTTAGGAGGGGGTGCAGTAGTCTCTTGCTTTACTTCAACACCAATAAACCAAGTAGTTTTTAGCCATTTTTGCCAGCACTTTTTTAGGATTTTACGAGCGCAATCGGGAAAGGCCTATCAGTGACTGGTCATCAAAAGGTGCAGAATTGTGTGAATATTGGGGTAGAGGCTTGAACTGCGCAGGTCCTCAATTATGTCTCTTGTAGTGTCGCGGGTTCTTCGGTACTTGTTGTCCTAACTTTAGTCAGTGGTTTACGATAAAAATACCTCTTTTGGTAATAACAATTATCCGAAAAGGTTTTTTTGTTTTCTTCGAAAATTTCGATAAAAGCTTTCACTGAGGCACACCACAAGACAACAGTTGTGTCCAGTGTTTCTCGTAATTTCAAACAGAAAGTTTCGTTGTCTGTGCAAGGACATTTAAAGTTTACCGCGGTATTTTTCTTGGAATAGTTCTGCAGTGACTAAGGCTTGTATTGTAAATTTTCATTTTGGATCGTGTCTACAGTTATTGACACAAAATGTATTTAAACTCAGGAAAACTCTAAAAATAAATAAGAACTGTCTCGCAGAATTCCACTTGAAAGACAATTGATTACGTTTAGTACAAAAATAGATTTAAAAAAATACAAAAAAAAAAAAAACAACAACAATAGCCGCCCATGACACAGAAAGGCAAGTAATAGTCTGCTACACAGCCGTTTTTAACGGCTGTGTAGCAGACTAGGCAAGTAACTGAACATCAGAAAATTATACAGCTTTATCTTTTATGCAGTAACTGAGTCAACTGAGAGTAAGCCTTTTCAGTAACTTTTGAAAACTGTCGTTAGGGTGTGGCATGGTCTGAGTGTGCTACAAATACAGCTAAAGGTTAGTCCTTATTGTCAAAGTAGATTAGACTTCAAATTCATTGCTTGGAGTCAGGAAAATTCACTTACTTGCTTTGAAAGAGCCATGTTGAGAAGAACTGATTGCTTCTTTGTCCAAACGTACTCAAAAGTCCAGTTAAGCTGTTGTGGTTCACTCCGTCACTGACTAAGCTGAACTGACTGCAGTGCTAGGGTTGATCGATTTTAAGGCTAGATACACACCTTGATTGACACATTAAAACAGGTTAGGCTAGATCTTAACAGGTTCGTCTGGATAAAAGGGACAAACAAATCTTTGTTCTTTACTAATGAGTTCACGTGATGTACAGTGTGCATGTACTTTTCCAGAGCCTTTCCTAACCAAACTTAGCCTTCGAACCGCAGACGCATTTCCGGTCCCGGAAATGCGTCTGCGGTTCGCAGGCCAAACCAAACTTGGCTATTTCTTAATTTCAACTCTTAGGTAACAGTGAGCTCTAAAGTTATATAACAGCTAACTGAAAATCTTGAAATTAATCATTAGTGACTTCGTTACAACGATACCTTGCGGCTTCAGCACAAGCCGTTAAAACACTGCAACAAAGAGCTCACAAATAAATGAAAAAACAAAAAGTGAATGTTGAAGAAATATCAGAAACTAAGGTGCAATTATCTATAAGCAATTTTATTCTTTCATTCTGGAAGGCAGAATAAAGTATGCCATCAATTACAGCTACAAAGTTTTGCAGAAGAATTAAAAGTCACTGCTGGTCTAAAAATTTATTATTCCCGGGATCAGGAAATAGAGTGTGTTTAAAAGCTCAAAAAGACAGTTCACTGCCTTATTGACACAATTGAAGCGACTGAAATATCCAGAGTATGTTACTTATAAAGCGAAACAGTGAAACGGGGGTAGACGATTTGGGAAAAGAAGCTAAATAGGTTCCTGAACATTTTTCGTCAATGAAACAAGTAAAAGACTTTAAATAAGCATAGCCGTTCTTGAGTTGTCATGAATTCCGCTTTAAATTTAAACAAGCTTTGTAACGCGTATGGCTCACTATTTAGGGAGGTAAATGGAAGTGTGCTTTAGTTTAAAACGACTACAGATCATGACCCGGACGGGTGGTTAGATTAAACGTAGACTTGTTTTCCAGCTTTTCATCCGGAGCATGAAAGGTTTTAATATTGCTCAAAGAGTTCGAAAGAGCAGCGAGAACTGCTTATACAATATCCTTTAGTTAATCACTAGCTCACTCGACCACGTAGATTTCTAGAATATAAAAATATTGCCCGGCTATTCTAGATCTCAACTCAGACAACTCAGCGACTGAGCTGTGAACACACTTTTTTATTAGGGAGTTTACGCAACGACGGCGGCGAGGGCAAGGAGAACGGCAAAAACGAAATAGGTTTGGACAAGCAAAACAACAACTTTGCACGTCCATCATGCTGTTTTCTACGTTTCTCTGCCGTCGTTGCACGACTCCAACGTGAAACTACGCACTAATTTCACGTTTTGTCGAGGACGGAAACAGAAGACAACTTTCTTTTTCTTTTCCTGAACTTTGATCCAGTCCTCACTTTAGAATTCAACTCCAAAAAAATTTGCCAACATTTGACGGATTTAACGAGGTTAAGTCTGAGGGAGTGCAAATTCACTTTTTAAGTGATCTTTTAGTAGCCGCCCTCGTCGTCGTTGCGTAACCTCCCTATTAGCGTAGGTAAAAATGGTAAGATTGTTGATTATATATTATCCATATTAAAAAACTGATATGTTATAATTTTCTTCTTAGATGAAGCGTACATTTCAATAAGGTGATTTGTTAAAAGTACATAAATCTATTTTAGAATCTTTAAGTGAAATCTTTCATCGCTAGTAAGCAAGCGGTAACATTTATTTACTTTCCTTGCCCAGTTCATAACATACAATCTAACGTGTATTAAGTTGAGTGGACCTGCATTAAGCGGTCACTTTCGTAAGCCCGGAATTACTATAGAACTGACCCGGTCACCTTTTTCATGGTCCCAACGAGTTATTTTTTTATTTTCTCCACCTGTTCAACGGTCACTTTGGCACAAAAAATGGTAAAACAGTTTGTGTACCCCTTCAACAGTTGCCGTGTTGTGGATATTTCGCTTTGTCACCATCTTGATTTTCTTGATAAACTCCGGTCCTAGATAGGTTTGTCAAACTTGTATGAAAGAGTCAACCTGTATTAAGCGGTCAGTAAGCCATTCCCAAAGATATAGGTTTGACTGTAGTTATTTCTAATAATTCTAATAATTAGATTTGGCCCGAAGAAATAGCGCGCCATGTTTCAGTAAGGAGGAAAACTATGATTAAAAATGGCGCAAACCGGCTGATAAAAGAGTAGAACGTTACGCTTTTGTAGTCCATTGCCTTAAATGACTCAAAATAAAGCGATTAAATGCATTCATCTCTTACATAAAATTAAGCTTCGGCTAAGTGAGAATCGCTCCGTTTAACACTACCTCGCATTTATAATTACTTTTTACTTGATTTCAAAAACAAACTGAATCACATCAGAACTTGTTTATATCCTAGATGTTGAGTCACACAAACAAAGCGGCTGTCAAAAGGTTTGCGGCTTTTTATAACCTAAAGTAAGAATGGAGGGTTTGCAAAATATACATCATTAACGACACATTGGGGGAGGGGCAGTATAGGGATTAGAAAATGGTCAAACTTCAATGGTTTTCTTGAAGTAGTATGAAGTACAAAAATTTCTGTGTAAAGTAATTCTTTTTCAGTGACTGAAGATAGATAATCACAGAAATCTTGTCCTTTAGAATAATGGAATAATCAGGTGGTCAATAATGCCCTTTGGAATAATAATTTTTCTCATTTTGACTGGAATAAGGAACAGCGAAGTTTTCGTTCAGGATTAATGAAAACACCCTATTATTGCTCATTCGGTTTGTATGGCGTTTTGCCACTGTCAAGCAATTTTTTACAAGTTACACAGCGATAGCGTGCCCTGGAGCACAACCGCCCACAATTATCATAGTATTTCTCTCGAAAATGATTTATCGATATTCAAAGTTAATTTGACTGTCTGTAAATTAATAACAGGGCCGGTGAATTAAAATGAAATATAAACATAACTGATTATATTTAAAACCATAGGGACTCTGATTGCTTTAGGACTGTAAGTACATGGTTCTAGTATTGAGCGTCTGACTGACATGGGTATTGGTGCGGACGTACCTTTCGTCGCACATTTTCCATCAAATCGTCGGTTTCCTCAACGAAATCGTCACTTGCCGTATCAAGGATTGTTTTGCGTGGTGGCTCTACTAGAAGCTTAAGCAACGGAGACGACTACGACGGGAACTAGAAAATCAAAAGGCAATACAT